TTCGGAAAAATCGATAATCCGGATTAATGACTTTTGACTGTATTAAAGTTTCAGTTTGTGAGGATAATCAGTCTGTAATTAAAGCAATATTGAATGAAAGTAATTGTGCTAGACTAAAACATTTGGACATTAAATTAAAGTATATTAGGCATATTGTAAAATTGTATGATATAAATCTTGTATATGTTTCTAGTGAAAATCAGTTAGCTGATTTGTTTACAAAATGCTTGCCTAAACCAAGATTATGTTATTTAAGAGATAAATGTAAAATAATATGTGATTAAGGGAGGGTGTTGAGAATAATCACATGTACTCCCGGTTTCTGATTTAATGTCATGTATTTTAACCGGAACTGTTTTATACTTTTGCTTAGGTTGATCTGGAAACAGTTGTAGTGTTCTTGGTCATTGTGTGATATGTAGAAACGTGCTATGCCATGTGTGTGAAATTCCATCATTTAATAAAACCTCTACTTAATTATCATCAACCTCCGATTCACCTTTTTTAAATCTTTACGAAAACAAAAACATAACCTTCGATGTCCAGCTCCATCTTGGCCTGAACTTGAAAATGCCGTAAAAATGTGGGTGATAGATAAGAGGAAATCTGGGATAAGTGTTTCAACCAAAATGATAATCAATGAGGCCAAAGGATTTGCAGAAAAACATGGGAATCAGAACTTTTCAGGGTCTGAGAGCTTGTGCTACAGGTTCAAGAAAAGGCAAGACTCAGTGCACACAAAAACAACTATGCTAGAAAATGCCAGCAGATTATGAAGAAAAATACTAGCATTTCATAGGTTTGTTATAAATGCACACAAGAAAACTTCTTTTGCACTCAGTGAAATAGGAAATATGGATGAAATTCCACTCACATTTTATGTACCATCCAACAAGACTGTGAGTGTTAAAGGGTCTAAATCAATAACCATAAAAACCACAGGTCATGGAAAAACCCGATATATGGCACAAAACTACCGCCGTTTTTCTTATTCAAAAGAAAAACAAAAACTCATCCGAAAGAAAAACTTCCAACAGGTGTTCTGGAATGAAAGTGTGGTTACAGAACGTATGGGCGAGGCGACCTGGTGGACTCTTAACAAGACTCTCTCTTTTGGTTTTGGATCAGTTTAGCGGCAATAGAACTGAAACCATAAAGAATAAAGTGAGAGAATTAGAAACCCAGATAGCTGTCATTCCTGGTGGACTGTCTAGCCAATTGCAGCCTTTAGATGTATCGGTGAATAAGCCATTTAAGGAAAAAGTGCAAGAACGATGGAACAAGTGGATAGGAGAGCCACATCACGCCCTCACCCCCTCAGGTAGAATGAAGAGGCCCTCTATTTCACAAGTGTGCGAACGGATAAAAAGATGTTTGGAGGACATAAAGGCTGAAGTAATTGTTAAGTCCTTTAAGAAGTGTGGAATCAGTAATGCTCTTGACGGAACAGAAGATGACGCATTATTCGAAGAAGGTGATACTGGCGATGACGGAAACAGTAGTGATGACGATATTCTCGTTTTCAATGATGATGATAGTGAAAAGGATTTTTATAGTTTTGAAAGTGATTAAAGTCTAATTTCATGATAGGCAATGTTTTCCTTGAATCTGTGTCTTTTGTTGTTTCTGCCTTATTTTGTATTATGTTCGATTGCTTGCCGTTTATTCATTTATTCATTATTGAAAATTTACATACCATGTTCAAAATAGCCTGCCCTTTGTTAATTTTCCTTAATAAAAATATGTTTGGTAATTGCATTCAATGATTGTTTATTTGGCTTTTACGAAACGTGAGAACTAAAAGAAACCACATTTTAAGTTATTGTGGTACCATGCTGTCATGCGGACTATTGAAACTTTTTTTCCTTGTGTGTGGGGCCTTCTAAATAAGGGTGTGTCTAATATGCTGTCAAATACGGTAATAATTATAGAAAATCCATAACAGTTGGTATCATTACATAAATCAACTTTTTGCAAAAATTTTAAAACAGATTATATAATTCATGATAAGAAATACAGTAGAATTTTTATAATTAGAAATTTTTGTACAGGTAAAAAAATTTTAAAAATGATCTCAATGAAATAAATCCCTTAAACCTAAAGTACCTGATATGTAGAATTGTTTTCAAATGACAAAGAAATTCTCTTTTTGCTTCCTTCTCAATAAGCTCATGTCAGATATCCGAAAACCATATTTCATAAAATCCTCAAATTTAAGAAACTTGTATTTTCATAATTTTCCAGATCACATTTTTATTACATTCTTTACACTATTGCTTAAAAAATTTTTGTTTTAAAAGAAAAAGCATAAGGAAAACATGAAATTCCATTATCACTTTTAACTGGATTTATATATACATTCATATTAAATGGAAAATCTTTATTTCCCATCTAATTATGATTTGATGCTACTAGAAGTAGCAATTTTCTAATATCCATAAAAAAACATGATGTTTTTATTTAACTAAACCCTTTTTCTCATAAATCAAATTTTTTGTCGTTAATGTAAACATACTTTAATGCCCAGTCTTTTTGGTGCGTGTATATGTATGCACTTGCGTACACATGCATGTATGTATGTATGCAAGCAGAATCCTAAATGTTTAATATGCCTATTTCACCAAAGTCTCATTTACTTAAATTTTCAAAATTTAAAACATTTTCTATTTCCTTCAATTTCATCTCATCAAAGTTTAGCAATATCTGCATGCTTAAAGCATTAAAAAATAAGTTAACTTTGATGAAGACAATGCTAATGGTACTTATTTAGCAACTACACAACTTTTATGATAATATTAAAAAAGAAATTATTAATGAGATAAATCCAAAATACTTGACTGTTAGATACATAACAGCAGACTCTAAAGAAGGAATACATGATGGTTTATTAAGACACATATAACTTTCAAATTAATTTTTCATTAAAAAAATACATACAAATCACATGAATTATAACAATTTATAATCACCTTTTCAAAACTATTTTGCTTAGCGCTAACAAGTTCAAAGACATTTAAAAGAATCCAAATAATAAATTTCAATAAGCATCTTAGCAAATTTTGTGGCTAGGACTGAACTTTGAATATTAAAATTCTACAATTCAAATGGCTTTAAATTATCAGAGCCATTAAAAACTAATGCAAAAATTAATTGATCATGAAGACAATTTTTGCTATCATAAGCAAAAATGATATCTCATCCATCTTAAAACTAATTATAAGTTCATGAGAAATAACTGCATGTATCAAATTAAAAATAAATTTTATCCAAATAAGATTGAATTAAGTATTGAAAATATTAGTAGTCCATATTTTGAGGTATCACTTGGATTATTGACAAGTTGTTGTTTCAGTTATGGCAACCTGAGTATTCTAAGGTGTATGTTTTGGAAACTCTATAATGACATGATTGGTTGTAATGTGTGATTGCGGCACTGAATATAATTCATGGGAAAATTTTTCTCAGGGCTTATTTCTGCACTGGATGTCAGTTAGGAAGTATGTTGCTTATTTTATGCTTTACACTGTAAAATGGCTGCTGGTAATAAGATTAATCTGAAGGTTCTGTATGACTTAGAACAAATGGATAAGAAAGCACTGATTAACTGGTGTGCACATGAAGGTTTAATCATAATTCAGCAGAATATCTTACCTGGAACAACGATCATATCTGATTGCTGGAAGTTATATGATTGTCTTTCTGATAATGGCTTCGTTCACCTCTCAATAAATTATGCTGTGATATGTGGAAGTTAGACCTCATATCAACACTAGGTATGTGAGGTGTAATAAAAAGGGATTTTTGATAGAAAATGCTACCGACAGTCCGGCACTAGAGAGGATATTTTTTATTCTTATTTTTGTGAATTTATGTGGCAACGACAGTATACAGATTCTAGTTCAGATAATTTTAAACAGTTTTGGAATGCTGTTAAGGAATTCTTTGTGCTACACACCAAAGACAAATTTATAAATAAGGTAAGTTGATATTTCCTTTTTATACTGAGCAGATTAGATAGCATGCATTTCCATTTTTATGTTATTTGTTTTGATTTAAAATTCAGTTTATTGAGATTATAATTTTCATGTTTCAATTCATTATGTTTTAGGTGCCATTTTATTTTGAAGGGTTATTACAATATTCTCGTTTTCGATTTGTTCACCTCTCAATTAATTATGCAGTGATATGTGGAAACTAGACCACATATCAACACTACTGAAGGTATGTGAGGTGTAATAAAAAGGGATTTTTGATAGAAAATGCTACCGACAGTCCGGCACTAGGGAGGATATTTTTTATTCTTATTTTTGTGAATTTATGTGGCGACGACAGTATACAGATTCTAGTTCAGATAATTTTAAACAGTTTTTGAATGCTGTTAAGGAATTCTTTGTGCTACACACCACAGACAAATTTATAAATAAGGTAAGTTGTAAGTTGATATTTCCTTTTTATACTGAGCAGATTAGATAACATGCATTTCCATTTTTATGTTATTTGTTTTGATTTAAAATTCAGTTTATTGAGATTATAATTTTTCATGTTTTAATTCATTATGTTTTAGGTGCCATTTTATTTTGAAGGGTTATTACGATGTCTCGTTCTCGTTCGCACATAAACAACGGGAATGGTTCCAAAAAATCATCAATTTTTGCCATGAGACACTGAAATATTTTTTCTCGAAAATATGTCATCCATAAAATAACGGCGAGTGAAACTTATAAGATTTTAATTACAATTAAAACATATGTGAAGTATACCTAAAAAAATATTTAACACCTGTTCAAAACAAAGTTTTGTTACATATATTTAATAACTTATCATGAAACTCTTAATGGTCTTAAGAATAACTGAGCAAATAAAATGTGCATTTTTTCCCTTAAATTTGTTTAATACTCTATTTATAAATCTTCTGAAATAATTAACAGCTGTACTAGCCACCGTTAAATAAAGATAATGAAATAAGGAATCAAAAAAAGTGAAACGAAATACATGCTTACTTCAGCAAAAAGGATGATATACAAGATCTCATTTGATGGAGGACTTGAACTGCTCTTTGCTTATGAACTAACTGTGCAGCTATAATTCCAGAGTCCACAGTGTCTTGTCCTAAAAAAGAAACCAAAATTTTAATAACAGAAAGCAAAATAACTATTCATTAGTTACAGTTAAGAAGCTTTCTTAAACAAGAATAAAAGGTATTTCCTGATTATTAGTACTCCTGCTGAAAACAGCTATGAAAAAGTATTTATGTGGCAACCCACAATGTTACCAAAAAGCATATATATGGCAACACAGGCATGGGCATAGCGTAAGTGCTTTAGTATACATGGATTTTAACTTTGGAAATTCAATGTTTTTCTGATTGGTATTTATTTTTAACTAAGTACACTTGTTTTTTGTTGCAACAAATCATAATGGAACTGTGGGGTTTACACTCTTTTATCTTCATGACACTGGAGTGTACACTGAGGTTTCAACTGTTGTGTAATCATGGTTGGTGTACGATGCTGAATTTCTGCAATTCTTTGATTTCTTTAGCAAAAACAAATTGCTGTACACAGGGCATAAGAACATAACAGCACATAAGAATTACAAGATTTTTCGAAAACTTTTTTTTTTTTTTTTAATAATGCAAAAAAAAAAAAAAAAAATACACAGCATTGAATGCACCAATAAAACACATATAAAGGTAGCCAAATAAATATTTCTCTTTAAAGACGCTGACAAGTAGGACAAATATCATCCAAAATCACCAAATTCGCAACTTTCTGGCGAGTGTGTGGATGTACCACAGTAAATTACTGAATGTTGGCAGAGATATAAAATACTATGTATTGTTTTTAGAAAACTATTTCAATGAATTGCATAAAAGATAAATTACTCAGTAAACAGACACATATGCACAAAAAAGGGGGGAGAAACAATTAGGCAAGAGACATGTGTTTGAATAGGATTCGATTTTATAATAAAAATGGAAATTCTGTTTGAAGTCTTAAACACTTAAAATTATACATGATTAATTTATGAGGGAGTTGGAAAAATTACCTCTCATCCCTGAAGCATTTTTTCTAATCTTCAAAATCCACCTGCATTCTTGCAGATGACAACAAACATATTTGATAGATATTAAACATAAATAGAGTTAGGTTTAGTACCTGTTTAGTGGTACCAAATTCACTTTGGACCCCAATGTAGTAAGTCATAATGGTACCTGAGTAAAAGTACATTTTAGGGAACCCTTTGGCGAAACTTGGCGATTTCTGGCGGTACATGGATACCCAGTTTATGCAATTCTTTGATTTGTTATTTTGGCTTGCATAGTGGCTATTTTTGGCGCGAAAATCGCTGCTACACAAGCCAAAATAACAATGAAAGAATTGCTCAAACTCGGTATCATATCGCATCGACCTATTTTCACTTAAAAAAATATCCCTGAATTGCATGAAAATGGCATTGTGCACTCCCTTGACTTTATCCATGTACATATTCACCTATTTTCACTTCAAAAAACATCATAGAATTGCACAAACTATGCTTTATGCACTCCCTTGAGTTCATCCATGTACACATCGATATATTTTCTCTTAAAATGAATGTCAAAGGAGCACCCAATTCTACAGTAAAGGCAAACAAAAAATATATAATCTCAATAAACTACATTTTAAACCAAACAATAAAATAACAGAAAAAAGGAAAAACCTGTTATGTATTTTAGCACCACACAAAGCAAATATTCACTTACCTTATTTAGAAATTCATTTGTCTTCAGTCTGTGGTACACAAAGTTCCTTAACAGCACCCAAAAACTTCCTAAAATTATCGGAACTACAATCTGTATATCGTTGTCGGCACGTGAATTCACAAAAATAGTCACAATAACGTAGTTTCGGACTATGGCTACTAAGTAAACCTTCATTTACATACCAGTCAATTAATGCACTTTTCCCCTTTCGTTACAAATCGTACAGAAACTTCAAATTAATCCTACTACATTCAGCCATTGTACCGTCTAAACAATGAAACAAGCAATGTACTTCCTAAGCAACGCACACCACAAAAGTCCTTGCAAAACATCCCATGATTCAAAATTTCCCGGAATAATGCAAACGATTACATCATAATAGGGTTTCCATAACATTCAACTACTCAGGTTACCATAAATGATACAACTTGGCAATAAACGAAACAACTTGGCGATAAATGAAACTACAACTTCACGATAATACAAGGGGTACCTTAAAGTCAACTCTAACCTGGTACCTGTATATTAATACCTGAAGCTATATCCCCAAAAATACCACTCCTGCCTTTGATCTCGGCAAGGGTTAAGCAATTTTAGATGATATTCAAAACTCTTCTAGGAAGAGGAAAATTTTTATTTCTTTTCGTTCCTTACTAATGAACCATTTATAGGGGCTATGGGAGCTTGAGGATGGGATCATTATCATCATTATCATCATTATAATGATCCTTGCTCTGATAACTTCAGACAACTTAGAGCAAGGGCATATCCACAGTTTGCCATTTCTTTCCTCTTTGATTTAGAAATAACTCAAGACAACTTTTGTTCACCTGATGTTAATGTTTTCAGCATTTTGCATGTCTTTAGAAGTTTTGCTAAGAAATGGAACAGAAGACTTTCATTATTTCTAGGTACACAGTATTTTGCCAAAAAAACTCAAGTATTCAAATTCTTATACAATGAAACTATGTATGACAGAAGATGCAAAAGTAATGTCAACAAAGTGTTCAAATGAGAGCTGGAAATGTGTTCAAGAGAATTTATTAACTTTCTTATGAAGTAGAGTTCGTATTGAGGAGAAACTGTGAACTGCTAAAAATCCAAAAGCGTATTCAATCAATTTTGCTGACATCAAAAACATACAGGGGTTGGACAAAAATATGGAAACACCTTTAAAAAAACATGTTTCTTTGCTTAATATGGTGTAGGAAACCCGTTGGCATCCAAAACAGCTTGCAGTCTTCTCGGAATGGATAAATACAGTTCCTGTATGTTTGCCAAGGGAATATTATACCATTCTTCCTGCAAAACGGTGGCAAGTTCAGATAACGATGTTGGCGGTGGATAACGAGAACGCACTTTCCGTTCCAATGTAGACCACAAAGGTTCGATAATATTCAGGTCTGGTGACTCTGGTGGCCAGGGGAGATAGAACAACTCATCCTCGTGCTCAGAAAACCAGTCCTGGACAATGTGAGCTGTGTGAACAGGGGCTTTGTCGTCTTGGAAGACACCATCACCATCGGGGAACAAAGTTTGTACCATAGGATGAACTTGATCGGCCAAAATGTTCACATAAGTCTTGGCAGTCAGTCATGTGCCCTGACACAGTCATCATGGGGCTAGCAGAGAAACCACGATATGGCTGCCCAAACCATAACAGAACCCCCGCCATGTTTCACTCTTGGCAATAAGCAGTCTGTATTATAGGCTTGAGATGGCGTTCTCCAGACGTAAACTCGGCCAGAAGTGGGAACCATGTGAAAGAAGACTCATCAGACCATATTACTCGCTTCCACTGCTCTATAGTCCAGGCTTTTTGACTTAAACACCACCTTTTCCTGTTACGGGCATTAGCATCACTGATGAGTGGCTTCTCAATTGCAGCACGGCCAGCAATTCCCTGTTTATGAAGCTCCCTTCTAATTGTTTTAGTACTCACAGGGTTCGGTAACACAACATTCATTTCAGCAGTAACTTTTGCAGCTGTGGTCTTCTTATTTTTCGTCACAATTGCCCTTAATGATCGTCTGTCACAATCACTCAGGACACACTTTCGTCCGCGCTGTGATTTAGCAGATGATGTTTTTCCGCTTTTCAAATATGCGGAATAAATCTTCGATACAGTACCTCTTGAAACACTAAACACCTCGGCTACCTTGCTTATGGAAGCACCTATCATACCTGCTCCAACAATTTGCCCACGTTCGAAGTCTGTTAACTCTGACATAATGCAATGACAACCTCACATAACAGTACTCCGACAACAACTGAACTGTTTAGCATATTTACGAAGTTGTATAGGTGGCGTCAGTAGTCAAAAACGCCAACGCCACCTACATATTTCATTAAAATTAATCTTTCTTTTCAAACATGCATTTCACAAGGTGTTTCCATATTTTTGTCCATCCACTGTATTTCATCACCAAAAACAAGTCAACAGATTACTTGGCACTGTATCTGCAGGTATGGATTAACCCTTGGATGGTTATGAACGATTTCAGCTCGCAATTAAATTGTGCTTCATAATGCGTGCAAACGAGTTCCGCTCAGGAGTAAGATTTAGACCGAAATGGTTAGAAACGACCACTATTCGCGTAGTGAAATTTTTCCCCAATGTGCGCTGATGAGCTGAGCTCGTTCGCCATTATTATTCTGCATTGATTATGTTACAAAGGAATCCTACTCGTGAAATTTAGTTAGTTTTACTGTCTACAGATGGCAATACGGGTTCCATGAATTTCTTTTCATAATGAAGGGGAAAAATTTTTTTTTACCTTGTTCTTTTCATGTGTATTTTGGCACGTTTTTTAGGGTGTTTGTAAAGTAAAATGGCTCAAAAGCGAAAGTTAGACAATTATGATGGTGGTTATGATAGTGATACAGAAAGCTTATCAAGTTTTGAGTCTGATGAAGACTTTGCTCACAGTATATAAAGCTCAGAAGACGATTCAAGTGACGAGGAAAATTTTTCGTGTTCAACAGTGGTGCAAAATGTACTCATGTTCTCACGCTCCTAGCCAATTTAGTTTTACTGGTAATGTGGGCATGAAAGCCTGCATGACAAATATTTCTGATCCACTAGAGTACTTCGAGCTGTTTTTAGGTAATTACTGTATTTAAATGCTTCATAAAGTTTTACATTAGTTGTATTTATTTAGTACTTTCAATTTAATATTTGTCTTATATTTATAATTAACTATTACTATTTATGTAATTGATTATAATCATTTATAATTTACTATTTAATAATTATGATTTATTGATTATTTTAAAGTATGTAAAAACTGTTATTTATGTACTACAAATATTTTAAGAAATTTTTTAAATTCATGATGCAAGCTATCTACGGCATCGCCAGAGAAGGGTGACATTTTTGGAAGAACAGCAGGCGGAAAAATGCCACTTTCGACTACTGTTTACTCATAATACTGCGTGAAGTAAGTAAATAAAAACTGCTCATTTCTCTAACCGTCAAAGGGTTAATACACAAGTATCTAGTAACATTCATTCAAATAATTCAGTTTGTCCTATACACACAAAAAGAGCTATCAGATAGTTCAGATATAAAAATTTTACTGCATAAAAACTAAACTATAAGCCACCAAAATTACACTTCATGAATTAAATCAAACAAGTTTTAAATTGAACAGAAAGAATTTCTACATGAACTTCCTGAATTTATGAAGCAAGTCATTTGAAAGGATTATATTTTATGCAGAATATTAGCAAATATTAATTATGATAGCAATGAAGATACTATTTTAAAATATTACTGATCTATTTTAAAATATCACTGATCATGTACTTAATTTTTCAGAGCAAAGAACTGTCAGTCAACCTTTTATGCTTAATTTGCTAGAGAAAGTCATCACTATAAACTTTTCATACATTCATTCCTTCATTCATATGGAGCAGAAAAATGGTAAAATATTTAGAATTTAACATCAAATATGAAATGATATGATTTAATGTTACCTCCGGAAAAGCAATGCAAATTTGCAATAATGTGGCATACCTAAAAATTACCTAAACAATGACAATATAGTACATAATTACAAGGGGAAAGAGAGCATTTATACATAAAGATACTTGGCTGGAGGATTTCCCACATTTTTAAAATCAGAATATATGATGTTAAAAATTTGTAGCTGCAATTAAAAATTAAACTTTTGTAGTGATGGCAAATTATCACTGCTAGTTACAAGACCAACTCTTACAGTATTGTGATATCCAAGTATCCAAAAAAGTATCCAAAAATTACTCAATACCATTTTTATGAATAAATTCATAAAGAAATAAACCACCTACATAGTTAATATGCAAAACTAAATACCTTTCAAATCTTCCATAACAGATGTCTTAATGGCTGTCTTTACCCTAGGGAATCAAATTAAGATTTTAAATGAATATTCAACATTAAATGAAGAATATAAATTCATGAGAACAAAAAGAATAAAACAACTTATATATAAATACTTAAAAAAAAATATATTAAAATAAGAAGTTATAATTGGAAATAATTTATATCAGATGAACTTAAAAATGAGAGATGGCATTTTAGCAAGGATGCAGTGCAAAAATATAGTAGATATCCTATTAATCTAAATATTTTACTACTGATCTATAAAAAACAAAAATTTTAGAAATTAAAAAAAAAATTCTAATAAATATAGGAGTTTAAAAAATTATAATTAATGTAAAACATACAGTATATATTAACGCTACAGAGCTCACAGTTAAATTCAAGCAATGCAAATTTTAAAACTACCCAGACAGCTGACTTGACTCAGACACATATAAGAAAAGCCTGATTATTTGGATGTTTTAAGTATTCTTAACAGAACAAACTGACATTATAAACGTGCCCCTAATACCTATTTTGAAAAGCAATGTAATGAGGAATAAATGTAAATTTTACGAATTCATAAAACAAGCAAAAAATACAAACAATATAACTGAAAGTACCTTTCGGAAGAAAGAACTTTTTCCGACACATCTGTATAGCAGACTGAAGAATTTCGGCATAAAATAAGAGACACTTGATAGAAAAGACGACTGAAGATAGAGGAATTTCTGAAAGTATAAAAAATAGATAACTCTTATAAGAAACTATTACTCAAGGAATTTAAATATATTTCTTTTACAAAAAATTTATACAATTTAAATAAATCAGTAAAAACTTCCTCAAACTACACACTGTGACTTGTGTTTACTTCCATCTTCTACATTTGCTAGATATCTAAAAATGCATGCCTAAGTTAAAATCAGAAACATGAGTGTTTATAACACATATGAATCAAATAAGTTATTTTCATAGCTATTCGAGTATACACCAGGCACGGCTGGTGAATGATTCACTCTTTTTGTCTACATCTTTCATTGTTCTATGCTTCAATTTAGATACTGATGTACCATATTTTAATATTTAATGTCACTACTTAAATCTGACTGCAGGTCACCTGGGGTACTTCCTCATTTTAGAATAAAAATATTAATCTCACGGAGTGCACTGCAGCCCAAAAAAAGATGAGCCCCATTAGTCTGATTGTATAACTAAGTCACAATATTAATAGACAATTTTGCAATCACTATTGGATTTTAGATGACATGTAGTTTGTATTTTATATGCACTTTCATTTAATCTTATTTTTTTATGTTATGTGTTACATATGCTTTTTGGCAATTTAAATGTTTAGGTTTGCATAAATTCCCATTCACAGATTCATTTAGAACCAAATTTGAAATTCTTATATTTTTTAGATTCTGAAGAATACTTTTCATTTTTGTTTCAATTCTAACACCCTTGTCTCTATAATCTTCAATAGCATCGAACTCTGCTTCAAATTTCGTTTTCAGTCATGAAGCTGAGAAAACTTATATGCATATTTTCCAAATGTTCAGATTTTGAAACAAAAGCATTAAGCTCCACTGAAATTCAGTAGAACCTACCTAATTTTTTTTTATAATATCTTGTGACACATTGAAGGTTTTTGTAAATACAGCTCTGTGAATGTTCTTACCAAGTTTCATAGCTTCTTTACCTTCCATTTTTATACATTAGAATTCCAAACAAAGGTTCTTCGGTACCATTCAAGATTACCAAAAAATGTTCGCTTGTACGTCAAAATAAACTATTAACCTACCAGTGTATTATAGACTCTACAGACTAATAAATATATTCTAAAGTATTATTTATGTTTGAAAATATGTTTTCATCTTAAATAAAATCTCACAAAAAAAAAAAAAAAAAAAAACCACGTAAAAAACATTCTTTAATAAGCCTTACTACACGCATATATTTTTAGTTGATTCTAAAAGCTTTTTTTTTTTTACCACTTCCAAAAACAAAACTAATAATAATTATTATTGGCTCAAAAACATTAGGTGCATAAGATTAAATGAAAGTACACATAAAATACAAACTACACATCATCTGAAATCCAACAATGAAACAAGCACTTCATTCAACAGTTAGCACCACTGACTGATAAATAAGACACAACAAAGTAAGTGGGAATATGTACACAGCTAAGGAAGAAAACTTTGTTTAAATGTGATCCATTTAAGAAAAGATCAAGAATGCTGAAGAAAAAAAAAAGGGGGGTGTAATTTTATCAACTGTGAAGAATACTGTTGGAAATAAATTACCTGCCTTTTTCATATGATATTTTGTTACTTTTACATTAATCAGAATTAATTTTTTTTTCTTTCTATTTATACATGAAAATTGAATTCAGTGGTTCTTATCTGTGGTATGCATACCCTCCTGTGGGTACATAACTACATAGTCATGGGAATGCAGAAATTATCATTTATGGTAGAAAATATAAAAGTGTTATAATACAGCTCAATAAAGACTAAAATATTCAGAAAATTTAAATCTGACACTGTCAAAAGAAACAAAGAAAATCAGTCTGACTAATTCCAATGTGAATATTACTATTTCACAATGTATTAAAAGGAAAGTTTTAGGTAGTCCCATCACACTTGTCATATTACTCGATTCTGTATACATTATATTTAACCATGCCCTTACTTGTTCTATTATAACAAATCGTATATGGTGACTGCACTTTCAGTTTCTGTGAGTGAATTATCAAGTCGGCTATATAATTCTGTTTCTTTAAATTGTGATATGCAAACCAATTTGAGTGTGGAGCTTTGTTTTAAATTTGTATTCTTTTCTTTTTGTGAAACGTAAAGTGTTGTTTATATAAAAATGGTAAATAATTAAGAAGTAGATCTTTTCACAGAATAGAAACTACTTGTGGAAAATAGTTCCAATATGGCGTCTTTGCCAATTAAGTTTTGGGAGACCACCCATTTCAAATGAGCTGGAAAATTCACAAAGATGAGTGCCTTTAAGGGCTTACATAACTGTCTGATATTTTCTCAAAAGTAAATAAACTGAGCTTAGGATTATTGAACAGATCCACAGCTGTTTTCAAAGCATAGGACAAAACTGATCCTATGCTCAATATGCTCAAAAATTTATATTTCTGGGAATCTGCACCGCAAAAAATGATATCAAAGTATTCGAGACACTTTACAAGTTCTTGTCAGAAAATAGCTTCAGTTTATAGACACATTTAAAGAGAGCAGAAGAACCTGCTTAAGGCTTCCATGGGTCATTCAAACATGTTTTGCCCAAATGAAGTGAGAAGGACATTTCAACTTCAGATACTATCAATGAAAATTTCTTTAAAGCAGACTCAAAATTAAATTATTCTGGAAAAGAACAACTTATACTTTTCTGACTTTATGCATCACAGTTTACAATTTAATGGTATTAAAATAAAAGCATTATAAGATATACTATGAGAATATTCAAAGAGTGTCAGCAGGTTTTAGGTTCTTAAAAAGAATGTTAGAAGGGTTAGGAGAAGAGATACATGAAATAATTAAGTCTCATTATACGGTACATGAAAGAAAAAATGTTGGTAACTGGTATTTTAATTTATTATTAGCTTACCATTTGTACCTCCATATAATATTTGTGATATTTTATTATTTACTTATTTATCTTTAATTTACTAATGTTTTCTTTATCTCTAATTTAATATTCATTTTATGATTTATTTATTCTACCACTCTTGTCAAAGGATTCAAAAAATCAGTTTTGTGTATGAGTTTCACTTTGTGGATGTACCTTTACCTGTATTTTCAGGTTACCTCCCAATCTCAAATATAATTATGACAATACAGCCATAAACAACTATATTTATTCCCTCTCCCTATAGTGATACAATCATGGTCAGGGTCCCTCTCCCTATAGTGATACAATCATGGTCAGGGTCCTTCTCCCTATAGTGATACAATCATGGCTCACAATTTTAATCTTACGGGAAATCTCATCTCCTACCTCTCTATAAAAATCAAGCTGAAAGTTTCATATACAGCAGGGGTTGGCAATGCAGTGCGCCTACCATTCAAATGGCTAAATTCTAAATATTTGGACAACAAATGCTCATAATTGTAATGAATAATTTTGGTAAAATTTCTTATTTTAATCTTTGCCATTTTAACAACTGTGTGAAATGTACAATTAAACTTTTGACAAAAAATGAATCTTAGTCACTAATTAGAAACTTTTGTCTTACAGCAACATTATATTACTATACAACTTATCTGAGAGAAAATTCCTTGACATACCATTTTGTAATGAATAAGTTTTTTCTCTACAATCGCATCAGTGCTAATGACAAATTGGTGAAAAATTTATCTAAAAAAAATTCCTGCAGTTCACAAGTTACAATTCAAGCAATAATACAACTCTGAAGAAGCATCTTTTCCCCTATTTTAAATCTTTAGTTTTAGTATGGTTGCCCTAGTATAGACAATAAAATGTCACACAACTACTTTTACCTTCACAGGTTTTATAACTTTGTATGCCAAAGTATGATGAACACTTCTACATTTACTGATGGAGATCCAGCCTTCCCTTCTACGCAATCAATGACCCATCAACACAAATATTTGCTTTAAGCAAATAAACAGTTCTTGATTATGACAAAGTTCACTAGGGCTGCCTCAGGGCAGAGATGCTTTTGTGGAGGACTTTCTTAGGGAACCTGGCACGTCACGAAAATGCCCAAGCAGCCAGCCCATTTCAGCTCGAGTTCAGTGATTTCACTAATCAGCTGCTGGTGGGAGGTTGTTCTCATTTCAACAAATCTTATAAATATCAAACAGAAACTGAACCTGATGAAGAATTTCATACCAAAATGACATCCAATACATCCAACAAGGACTGGATTGTTCCTACTCAAACAAGTGAATTCAGTTCATTTCATGGAGAATCTGTTCATGGTACAGTAAAGGAAATTAAAAATTTAGATCAAGAAAATATTACATTGCCTTTTACAAGTATAGTTTCTGAAAGTGAAATCAATGGCAGTAGTCGAGCTCCAGAAAGTAATGAAAGACAACAAAACAGAACTCAAACATCCTCAGCAAAATATCTTACGGGACGTAGATGAGCCAACTTCGCATGCAAAGAGATTAATAATAATTTATGGTAACTCATGCAGTGCATGGAGATTGTTGATCAGAGGAAAAAATATTGCATCACAATCAGCAGTGCTCTGAAGAAGAGGCACATAAGAAATCCCAAAATCTAAATTGGTGTTTTCCACTCAATGAATTAAGTCACTTTCATTTCACGTTTTATGTTCGTGGAGCTTTAGCTGCAAAAGGCCCTTCTATTTTGAGTTTGAAATATTTGCACTCGAAGTATAACAGTGGACGAACAATTATTTCCCATGAAGACCCAATGCCAATTTATTCAGTATATGGCTAAAAACACAGACAAATTCAGCAGTAAATTTTGGCTTGCTACTGATGTGCAGTCAAAATATTTATTGAATGGATTTCCTATTTGTAAGAAGATGAAACAAGACCAGCAGGAAAAACAAGTAGGTGAATGTGCAGCTTTTAGCTTGATGGAACCTTACTACAATACTGAAAGAAACCTGTCAAAGGACAATTTTTTTACATTGCTTAAATTAGTAAAAGAAATGACGAGTTCAGAGATAAGCTGCATTGACAGAATAAATCACTTAAAAAGACAAGTA